TTTTCTTTTCTTATAGTAAATACCCTGTATATAAATGATTGCAAATGGAATGTGAAAATTGAATAAAATATATTAAAAAAAAATACTTGAGTCAGATACATCTTCTACTTTTTAAAGGGAGACCTTATTCTTTTCACTTCTAGAAAACTGGAAATCTATCAAAATAAGTCAGCATCAGAGGTGGTATTCAGCAGGTTCCAACTAGGTCTGGAGAACTGGTAGCAGAAATTTTGAGTAGTTCGGAGAACCGGTAAATACCACCTCTGACTGGCCCAACCCCATCTATTCTCTGCCTCCCGAGACCAAGCTGATCAGGAAGAAATAGAGATTTTGCAGTATCCTTCCCCTGCTATGCCCACAAAGCCATGCCATGCCCACCAAGTGACTTCCACAGAACCAGTATCCCACCACTGGTCAGTATCTAGCATTGGACTGAACTGTTTTATTATTAATAATAATAATCACCATCACAACATTGACAAAATCACCCTCAGTCAACTATAAAAGTCTGATCATTTTAAAACATATCCTGCAACTGTACTTTTTAACACCATCAGACAACAACACATGCCTAATAAATGATCTGGTGGGTGGATAAAAATGCCAAATCCAGTGTAAATATTGGGCTGGATGCATGACCAACCATTAAAAAAAAACAAAGAGAGAGATGAGGGGAAGGAGAGAGGGAGGCAGGCAGGCAGGCAGGCAGGCACGCATTGCATATTGTCTCACATTGATGAATTTTGTTTGCCTTATTTTAAATTAGCAAACATGACCTAAATCTGCTAAAGACTCCAGAGTTTTAGCTAATTACTCCCAAGTTGTTTACATGGAGAAGTATTTGTCAATCATTTTAAAGCCAGTTGACTGGATCAAGAAGTAACCTTCTTTACCAAGAAGGTAAACTTATTTACCTTACTTTACTTTATAACTTATTGAATAATAATGTTAAATAAAAAGTCAGGCCCTTAACGATACAGTATATGTGGACATGATGAAATACGGAGCCTATAATTCAGATAGTTTCCAACACATTCTCTGATGTCTCATTGTATCTCCTGTGGGGAGAATTTAACTCAATGAAAAGAAGAAAATCTTATCATAGCTAAGGAAGAGTATATTGTTGTTTTGTAGGTATTCTGAAGGCAGCAACAGTGCTTGAAACAATATGTATGATACTTTTAATGGTGTCTAGATGTCCAAGGCATTATTATTATTTTAACCTTCACTACTAATCACATATGCAACAGGAGGGAAGGGGAAATGTTTTTGGCCAGTGCTTGGAATATCTCAAAAAGGAGGAGGAGGAGGAGGAGGAGGAGGAGGAGAAGAAGAAGAAGAAGAAGAAGAAGAAGAAGAAG